TTCCTCTAAAATTGAAAGTTTATTTAAATATTGGCTGGGCATGGTGGCTCACGCCTGTAATCCCAGTGCTTTGGGAGGCCGAGATGGGTGGATCACCTGAGGTCAGGAGTTCGAGACCAGCCTGACCAATCTCGTGGAACCCTGTCTCTACTAAAAATACAAAAAATCAGCCAGGCATGGTGGCTTGCGCCTGTAGTCCCAACTATTCAGGAGGCTGTGACAGGAGAATTGCTTGAACCCAGGAGGCAGAGGTTGCAGTGAGCTGAGATCACACCACTGCATTCCAGCCTGGGTGACAGAGCAAAATTCCATCTCAAAAAAAAAAACAAAAACTTTATTTAAATTTTAAAAAGTAAATGTAATGGAAATGCATCTCTTAGTGAGAAGAATGGGATGTTATGGTGGTTTAATTAAAGGAGATTTTGCTGATCCCAATATTTCAAATTGTTCCTTTATTTACTGCTCTGGTAGTATTTAGATCTTAGGTCTTGGACCTTAGTAAGATTCAGGATGGGTGACAGATATATATTTATTTTGCAAAGTGGAAGGACAATTGTAAAAGTGGAGGATGGAAAAAAAGAGAACCATTGTGATGTGTAGGTCTCAGGTGTATTCTCTGGCTTGGGAAAGAGTGCCTGTGGAAATTGAAGCACTGGAAATTTACTCTTTTACAACTGTTGGTGCCTATGTACTCACTCCTTGAAGTGTCTTTGTAATATGCTCTAATGGTAGGTGTACCTCAGTCTAAAGACTTCTGATATATATCATCTTGAGAAGTTCAGCTGTGAAAGAGAACAGAGCAGGAGTAGTTGGAGAGGATATGAAGTCTAGAAAAGCTTCCTTCAGAAGCTTCGGTACATTTAAATGTCAAGGGGAAGGCCATTGTTGAGGGGAGGAAGGAAGGGAGACGGCATGTGGACTTCAGGTTTAGCCTCAGAGTTTTGAACATGGTTTAGAGAAAGCTCTATATAGAGGTTATATGCACAGCTCAATTTATAATAAAATGTACTTTGTGTCCCATTTACAATGTTAACATTACAACATTATCATTATTATGGTCACTGCCTTGCATACTTTGTCAACTCCCTTGCCCCACTCTCACTTTTGCTTCCTTACACAGTCTTGACTAAGCCGCAGCCCTTTTTTTGTTTTTTGAGATGAGTCTGGCTCTGCCGCCCAGGCTAGAGTGCAGTGAAGCAATTCCAGCTCACTGCAAGCTCCACCTCCCCGGGTTCACACCATTCTCCTGCCTCAGCCTCCCGAGTAGCTGGGACTACAGGTGTCCGCCACCATGCCTGGCTAATTTTTTGTATGTTTAGGAGAGGCAGGGTTTCACCGAGTTAGCCAGGATGGTCTCGATCTCCTGACCTCGTGATCCGCCCGCCTCGGTATCCCAAAGTGCTGCGATCACAGGCATGAGCCACCGTGCCGGCGCTGCAGCCCTTTAAATGCAATTCTCTGTCTTTGTTTTCCTCCTTTCTAGTGAGCACCCCTCCTCCATGTGTGACCTATTTAATGCTCTCACTTCAGAGTCATGAGCACTAATTTAAGAGGATCTTTATATTTTCTGGCGAACATACACTATAGTTCCCCATTCCCTTCACTCTCTCACTCTTCTAGGTGACTGTTTCATAAATTATTTCTTCTCAAATCTCCAATACAGTCTCCTTCTTCACTCTCAGCTTCCTTGCTTTCATATCACTGAGGTTGAAAGTGACTCTAGTTTGTCCTGGGAAGTTCCAGTTTATCTTCCCCATTTTGCTTCCAACTCTCCTGACAATGAGCTTAGCTGACCTGAAGTGACTTCAGACCCAACACTAGATGCAAAGGCAACTGTCTTACATAACTTTTAAAGCAGTTCCCACATTTGTACAAGGCCTAATCCTTATAATAAACCCTTTATTCTATAATACTCAGTGGTTCTGCTTTTCTGATCAAAGAAACAGAAAAGTTAAGAGGAAAAAAATAGAAGCAATCAGAAGAGAATGACCATAATCTCCCACCACATCTATCTGTATCTCTGCCTATAATCTCAATGGTTCTTCTTATGTCTGTGGACCAACTCTCTATGGTCCTAGCCAAGACTAACTCCCTCCTTTTCTGCACTATATCCCATGTCTTTTCACCTTCCCAGGGACTTCTGTCCAGCAAATCTCTGTCTCTGTCTCCATTAGCATTTGCTCCTGTACTGGAGCATTCCATCCCATCCATTTATTTACAAACACTGTGAGATTTTTCTGTTAAAACTACCTTCTCTTGACTTCTTCCTCTAGCCAATACCCCATCTCTAATCTATCCAGCAAAAGTTTCAGAAAGAGTTGTCTAAACTCCCCATCTCCTGTTTACCTTTCCTGTGCTTTCTGGAATCTATTATAATCAGGCTTTTGCCCCACCATTGCGCCGAACACTGCTCCTATCAAGATCACCAAAGAGCTCCACACTGGTAAATCCGATGGTTCTCTTTCCTCCTCTCATTTGATTTGTCAATAGCAGTTGACACAACCGATTACTCTCTCCTTCTGGAAACATCTTCTGCATTTGGCTTTCAGGAAATCTCCTGGTTTTTCTCCTACATCACCGATCGCTTCTTCTCAATCTCTCTATTTTCCTCTATTTCTGCCTAATGTTATCCCATGGCTTGGTGGTTGAAATTTTTCTATTTTCTATCTATATTCACTACCTTGGTAATCTCATCCATTTTTATAGCCTTAAACATCATCTATACTTTGATGACTCCCAAATTTATACTTTCCAGATTTATATTTTCTATTGAACTTGAGACTTACATAATACAAATACCTACTTAGTATCTCCACTTGGAAGTTTAGTAGGTATTTCAAATTTAACTTGCCCAAAAACTGAGCTCCCAAGCTCTGTAAAGTATGCCTTTCTCATAATCTTCCCCATTGCAATAAATGACAACGTCATTCTTCTTAGGTCGCAAACCTTGGTGCTATCCCTGATTCCTCAGCTGTACCTTCAAAATGTATCCAAATGTATAAAGAATGACAACCTTTGTATTTATTACTCTAGCTCCTACTGTTAAAAGTTTGAGAATGTGTCTGTCCATATATTTTTCATGACAAAGCTGGAGTCAGCCTAAATGTTCATTAGTGAGAGAATGATTAAATATATCATGGCAGATTATATTAAGCAGCTGCTAAGAAGAATATGTAGTATTCTTCTTATAGTAGTGCTGCTATAATATGACACGGGCATTCCTAAAAATCACCAAGTTATATAAAATCACACAATAACCACCACAGGGCCTGTGGGAAAATGGAGTTGGGGCTTAATATTAAAAAATTTTGCCAGTAACAGTAAAAAAAGACAGAAATCTAAAGAAAATGATAGCACACTTTTAAACATGTTAAATGATTAAGGAATACACAAATACTATAATACATTTGGCTCCTTACCTTGAAAAATACTCAAAGTTTGCTCTTGAGCCTGTAGGCCCCACTGTCCCACTGGCCAGCCCAGCCTAGCAGCCATGGTTGGTACCCTTTCTGCTCAAGGAAAAGAACAAAAGAGAGATAGAAAAAGAGTGGGAGAATAAATAGAGAAAAATGGCAGAGACCTGAGAGGAAAGTGGGGAACAATTAAAGAAAGGGGAAGGTAGGAAGCTGCTTAGCCAAGTTGCAACTGGCGAGTTACTGTGAGGTGGTAGCAGGTGGGCTATCTAGCCAGAAAGTTGAGACACCGAATGTGGCATTAGCTACATTGTGTGGCTCAATGACCCTGTGAAGTGTGGTGTGTGTGTGTGTGTGTTTTGTGTATTCCTATCCAGCTTATTTCAGTTGGGTATCGTTTTTGAGTTCACCTAGTGTTTCTTGTGAACAAAATTGCATATCAGAATGTGAAATTCATCTTATGCCCACCTTGTTCCCTGATACAGTGATCATTTTGGAAAATTTTTGAATTTTCAAAGGTCTATTTTAAAAAAACAGAAATGAGTTGTGCAACATACAGTATTTTATATATTGTTTCCCCCCCCCTTTTTTTTTTTTTTTCAAAAGCAAATCCCAGAGATGAAACGTTTTACTTGTAATACTTTAGTACATCACACCATTAAAGAGTCGTGCAACATACAGTATTTTATATATTTTGGTTTTTTTTTTTTTTTTTTTTTTTTACTTTATGTTATGGACATCCTGCCTTGTCAGAGCACACAGACTTACTTTCTTCTAATGGTTTCATGGTATTCTATAGTCTTAAGTTGTTGGTCTATTCCGCTACTGATAGCATTTTTATTGTCTATAATTTTTAACTATTACAAATTATATGGTATTTCATTGTGTAATTGGATATTTCTTTAAGACAGATTCCTGGAAATGTGGTTGTTGAGTCAAAAGATAGGAGCATTTTTCATCTTAGTGGGTTTACACAAACTGCGCTAAAGAAGCTGCACAAATAATATAGGAAAGTGTTCTTTTCTTCAATATGTAGATATTGGATAGTATGAATATTCAAAAATTTTGGCAACTGATAGGTGAAAAAACAGTAACATTGTTTTAATTTGCATTTGTCTAATACGTAATGAAACTTCATTGTGTTTCAAATGTTTATTGACAATGTTTGTTTTTTTCTGAGGAAATATCTATTCATATATTTTGCCCATTGTTCTATCAGGTTGTCTTCTTTCTATCAGTTTGTAGGAATTCTTTAAATATGAAGAATGTGAACCTTTTTTCCTATTATCTGGGTTGCAAATACTTCATCTTAGTCATTTGTTCTTAAATTGTGTTTACAGAAAACAATACTTTAAGTTGGAAGTTTTCTAACTTCAATTTTGTCCTAGGTTTTAACTTTCTTGATGTGGGAGGGTTAACTGCGGTGATCTTCACTTCCTGACTCAAAGGGTCAGGCTGTGATGGAGACTCATTTAAATGTCTTGTGTGTAGGGGTGTCTGGAAGACATTTTGAATCTTATGATAATTATTCTACTAATTGATAAATTAGAATGTTTAACTTACAAAGATGCAAACCATAGGGCAGAATACATATTATGAATATTTAATACAGAAACACTGAGACATGTATGAACAATCGCATTTTCTTTAGTGTATAAGCAAATCTAAATAATTTTGCTAGTGGATTAGCATCAAAAACAGTACAATATTGCATGTAACATTGCTCTCCTCCTCCTTCAAAAAAACCTCAGCCGAGTCTGCCCATCAACTCTACCCGGGACTTTTTCATAGGCTAGACGTCGTTTTTTGAATTGTGGTACTTGTGAGTACATAAAACCTGTTAAAAGGAGAAAAAGGAAAACCATTTTATTGCTTACAATAGTAAAGTATAGGTTTTTTTCTTTTCCTTTTTTTTTTTTTTTTTTTTGAGACAGAATTTTGCCCTTGTCACCCAGGCTGGAGTGTAGTGGCACAATCTTGGCTCACTGCAACCTCTGCCTCCTGAGTTCAAGCGATTCTCCTCCCTCAGCCTCCCGGGTAGCTGGGATTACAGGCACCTGCAACCACGCCTGGCTAATTTTTTGTATTTTTAGTAGAGACACATTTTGCCATGTTGGGCAGGCTAGACTCAAACTCCTGACCTCAGGTGATCCACCCGCCTCGGCCATTCAGAGTGCTGGGATTACAGGTGTGAGCCAACACGCCCGGCTGAAGTATAGGTATGTTTTCCTCACTGTTCAAATGGATTTTGTGTCTTCATCATCATCTACAAAGTGTCAAAATTTCCCAACAGGGATAAAATAATAACTATTAAAAAGTGTGTTTTTAACATAAATGCCTCTGAACCTAATGGCCCGGTATTAAAAATTAGTGATAAATGCGTATATTTTTATGCTCATGCCTTGTACAAGTAGTTAAATCTCCCTGGATTTCAATTTTCTCTTCTGTGAAATGAAAAGTTATAATATGTAATCTCTAAGTTCTCTTCTAATTTTAACATTTTTAAGTAAAAACGATCCAAAATGGTTTGGGAAGCAACTCAGGCAGGGCTTCCTAATTCCTGAACATTTCCAATAAGTCCTCATTAATTAGGATATAAATTAGAGGCTCATTTTGACAGACTTTGAACCTAAAACAAAGACATATTGCCTGGTCTCCGTGTACCTTGTATCCATTTTTGTGGTGCAAGTGTATACAATTCTGTCAGTTTTTTGTGTTTTTTTTAATTCTTTTTTTTTTTTTTTTCTGGTTTGCCCTTCTATTCCTGACTGCAGCTTTTTCTCACTTGGGCTAATTTTCTTCTCATGAACATATACCCTCTAGGGAATACCATTTTCACTAGGGACATATTTCTTTTCAGGGAGAGGTTATGTGTTTAGGAATCTATCTGTAAATTCATGTCTTTAAAGGCATGTCTGGAAAACAAATCTTTAACTCTAATTGAGGAGCTAAAGAATCCTTAAGTAAACAATTAGATGAAATACAGGGAATATTAATGATGACAGGACCTTGGTCCTTCGCTGTAGAGCTGTGGGAGAACCTGGACTATCAGTAGCATGCTGGTAAATGTTTAACAACCGGCTCTCGGGGTGGTGTGGGGGAAACAAGGAAAGGCGTGATTTGTAGCATCTGCCAATTTTTCTGATATGAAGACCCCCACCATGGCTGATTTTAAGCTACCAATGTGATAGAAACAATGTTTTTTTCTGGATATCAATCTCTCACAGCCAATTCTAAAATTTCTAAAAACGCTTAAATTTCTTTTTCTATAGCTGCCAGGAAGCTTTCCCATGAAATGAATGTATATTTTGCACCTATTTAATAACTCCAATTTATTATCCATATATTATTTATATATGGATATCCATATATAGTTATCCCTATATTAGTATCCACGTGTTCAATTATAAAGCACACACAAATTTCCAGTTAACCAATACAAAGTATCCCAAGTACATTCACAGATGAAAACAGTTTTGAAGAGATTACCAGCATTTTGGACATTATGAGCAAAATTCACTACATCCTTGCCAAGTTGGATAAAGAATCATCATTAATAAATGGAAGGAGTAAATAATAAACTGACAACAATGCAGTTGTCAGAAATAACAAAAGTTCAAAAAAACCCCAACAACATGAGAAAAACCCCACTCTTGGCTCAAAGAAAAAATTTATAATAGATCAATAAGAAAAAAATAAAAATTAGAATACCATATTTAAAAATAGTATTAGTAGCTCATATTCAGCTGCCATTCCAGAGTCTTTAATATGACATTTTTAATACTCTTGCTTTTAAGTTTTCCCTCATGAGCTTGATCCTTGACCCACAGCTGTAATATGAAATTTATTCTAAGCCCTGATGAATGATAGCTGGTGATCATGTAAGAACTCACCTTATATGACTTTTTTATATATGATACATTTACGTGAAAAATTCCAGATTTGGATACTTACAGAGGCTGATTATGAAATCAGTAAAATGGAAAACTAAAAATTATGAAACAGTTTTAATAATTATCCCTGGGGATATAATCTCATAATTGCAAGAGTTAGGGTACCATTATTTAAAAGTTTAAAAGGCAGGGTGGAGTGCAGTAGTTCACACCTGTAATCCCAGCACTTTGGAAGGCTGAGGCAGGCAGACTGCTTGAACCCAAGAGTTTGAGACCAGACTGGGCAACATGGCAAGATCTTGCCTTTATAAAAAATACAAAAATTAGCTGGGTGTGACGGTGCGTGCCTTTTGTCCCAGCTACTCAAGAGGTTGAGGAAGGATGATTCAGCCTGGGTGACACAGCAAGACTCTGTCAATAATAATAATAATAATAAGTTTTAAAAGCAATGTATTTTGTTAAACAGACATGACAAAAAATAAAAATAAAGCAATGTAGTAAGCAATTATATCATGGAGATCCCATATATACACTTCAGGACAAATGGAAAATTATCTTGAGGTTATGGGTTATGCTAATGGCTTTGGATAAATTTTCCAGAGCTGTGCCAATATTAATTCAAAAAGTGTTGTATCTTAAGCAATGTACTTGGAGGTAATGATGTACTATGGAAAACCAGTTAAATAAAATTTGTCATATTGAATGTAGATATTAGTATCAAAGAGTCATGTGAAATGTTTGAATAAAATTATCTCATGGAAATAACTTGGAAATTGGAAGAAATTAATGTTTCTAAATTGACATTATTTTATAGAGTATGTGATTTAAAAATATATAACTAAATTAATGAATTAAAATATAGGTAGATGTTTGACCATTCTACTCATATACCTATAAGCTTTAAGCTTTTTCTAACATTTAATGTTAGAATTTATTTAAAAACGACTTCTGGGTCTTCTCATTGAAAAATGGGAGGTCATATACTGGAGTGCCCTGTGTTCAAGAACATATAGTAATTCACGTGCATATTTTGTTTCAGAGTAGAAAAATATGAAATTTTCATCCAGTTTATGAAGTTAGCATAACGTTCATGTCAAAATGTGATAAGGCACAAATGAACACAATCTAATATCATGAATGTGGACATGAAAATCATAAATAAATATTAGCTACCGTATTTAACAGCGTGTTAAAAGAATCTCTTAGGCCGGGCCCAGTGGCTCACTCCTGTAATCCCAGCACTGTGGGAGACCAAGGCGGGTAGATCGCTTAAGCCCAGGAGTTTGAGACCAGCCTGGACAACATAACAAAACCCTGTCTCTACTAAAAATAGCAACAAATTAGCCAGGCATGGTGGTGTGTGCCTGTAATCCCAGCTACTTGGGAGGCTAAGACGGGACGATCGCTTGAGCCCAAAAGGTGGGGGTGGCAGTGAGCCGATCATGCCACTGCACTCCAGCCTGGGCCACAGAGGGAGACCCTGTCTTACAAAAAAAAAAAAAAAAAAAACTTAGACAAGGTAGCATGAAATATTAAATAAAACAAAAATATAAAAATTTAAAAAATAAAGAGTCATCCCTCAAAAACCAGTTATGTTTATCACAGAAATGGCAAAGATAATTTAATACTAGTAAACCTGTGAATATAATCTTTGACATGAATAGGTCAATAGAGAAAGCACATTTGATTTTTCCCAATATGTGCTAAAATGAGTTTGGATAAAATTTAGCATCTATTTTTCACAGAAGTTTTTACAAGACTAGACACAGAATACTTCCCATTAAAGTGAGGAACAAAACAAGTTGTAACTATTAAACTAGAGCAAATCCAAGTATTACAAGTCCCGGAGCTTATACAATCTGGGAGGTCTTTTTAAAACAAAACAAAGAATACAAGATTTTCCTGGCCCCTCTCAGGTCTCACAAAAAAACCTATGAAAAAAAGAAGTTCGAAACTTCAGCTTCCCTCTGGCCTCCCCTTTTTCTCCTATCCTGGGGAAGGCCACCTTTGTATGGCCGTTAGAACTTAATATTTTGTTTTAGATGCTTGGGCCAATGCAATACGAAATGACACTGAAAGAAAAGCTAGAATCACTAGAAATAAGAAAATTAAATTGTTCTTTTAAAAATTTGATAAGCTTAAATGTTCAGACAACTCAAAAACTTCCACTAGAATGGAGCTAATAATAGTGCCTATTTAATAGAATTGTTAGAATTAAAGTAAATAATCCAATAAAGGACGTAGAATGGAGACTGGCACCTAATTAGGCTCTGTTAATAAATGTTCAATTAAATATACCTACCCCACAAAGAGGTTAATTTTCTAATTCACTGATTCCTCTGTTTAATCTTTGTTGATTTTAGTCTCCTGCTTTACTTAGAGTTGCACTGCTTTTATTTTTAACTTCTTAAGTTGAATGCTTAGTTCACTTAAGGCTATAAGAATTTAACACAGTATATTTTCTTTGCATTTATTTTAGAGTTTAGAGTTTCTCTTTTACTCAACAGTTATTAGAGAAGTTTTTTAAGTATAGTAATTAAAACAAAAAAAGGTTAAATTTGGAGATGGTTTTCTCTTTTAAAATTAAATTTGAGAGTAGTTTTATCAACTATTGGATAGCGTTACCTGTTAATGATTCCTTGTCTCCTGAGTTAAATGAAGATTCAGGATGCCTTTTCTGTCCTAAACTTTTTCCAGCTCTTTGGTAGAAGTAAAGACTGTTGAATTCTTTTTGATTTGCATTAGAATCAGAAGCACAAAATAAATCCAAACTGGGGACAGATGGTAATTCTCTCCAGAAAGTCTCATCATTTGAACTTTCACATGTGAGGCCTTCAAACTCATCTGATAGACATTTTTGCTGATCAGTGAATAAATTACCTTTCTGAGAGTACAATTTGTTACATGTAGTCTGCTCTGCACCATATTGTAAGTTGAACGGGTGATTCTCTTGTTCCCATATAGTTTTCTTTAAGTTCCAATGAAGAGGGGAATGAGAGCCCTCTAGTGAAAAGATAGGGTCAGATACTTCTTTATTTATGAAACCTTTTGCTTCATGTGTTCTCCTTTTCTGAGAATTTATAAAACGGGGGACAATTGACACTCTCTTCTGAGCGTCACTTGGTGATTTTATAGTTTCACAGTTTATTTGTGTTAGACCCAAAGAAAAGACATCTGACTCTGAATCACTGTGGTTTAGAAAGGAGTTATAAGCCGGTCTCCTTGATTCTATATTAATTAGAAAAGGAGTATTCTGCACTATATTAGGTTTACAACTAGAGTCTTTCCAGTAACTGGTCTGATTATATGAAGTCACAGGTGGTAAAAAACCTGCGATTTCTTTTAGTTCCATAATGGAAGAATTGTCATTAAAAGTGGTGGTTTTGTCTTCCTGCACTGTCTCTCCTAATCCTAAATACTGACAATATTCATTATGTTCTTGAATGACAGAGTCTAAATCAGAAGCTGAACTCCGAGAAGACAAGGTACTAATCCGATTCCTGTTGTCCTGAGGTGATGAAATTTGCGGTGATTTTGTTACAGAAGAAGAACTAATCTTGAATAGGGAAGTGATGCTACAAAAATGCTAAAAAATGAATTAATATAATGCAAACATCAGTTTAGTAAATATGAATAATGATGCTTATCTTTATGGAAAGAAGGCAAAATATAAATAAGTAGTCTATTCATAGATATTACATTGATCCAGGTATTAACAACGTGAAATCATTAGGTTCTATTAGAAGAAAAACTCATTGTAATTCATACATATTTTCTAATCACTTGTAATAGATTTTTTAATAGTCTATTTTTCAGAACAATTTTAGGCTCACAGCAAATACAATAGAATTTTTAGTTATACAATTCTACATGTATACTATTTCCTTGATAAGAATACTATTATCTTATACATGAATATTATTTCCTTGATAAGAATTCTAAAATATTACCAGTAAGGCTAAAGTTATCTTTACAGCTACAATGAAGTGTGTGTTAGGACTGTTTGGAAGAGGTAATGTAAATACATGTGAATAGGGTATATAATTGAATTTTCTGTGAGCACAATATTCCAAAATGATTTAAAGCTGATTATATTGAATTTATCTGTATAAAATAGCTTTAGAATGTATAATATAGGCTGGGGTTTATGGCTCATGCCTGTAATCCTAGCATTTTGGGAGGCCAAGGCTGTTAGATCACCTGAGGTCAGAAGTTCAAAACCAGCCTGGCCAACATGGTGAAACTCTGTCTCCACTAAAAGTACGAAACTTAGCCAGGTGTGGTGGTGCACACCTGCAGTCCCAGCTGGTTGGGAGGCTGAGGCACGAGAATCGCCTGAACCCAGGAAGTGGAGATTGCAGTGAGCCGAGATCAAGCCACTGCACTCCAGCCTAGGTGACAGAGAGAGACTCCATCTCAAAAAAAGAAAAAATACTGTAATCCCAGCACTTTGGGAGGCCGAAGTGGGTGGATCACCTGAGGTCAGGAGTTCGAGACCAGACTGACCAACATGGTGAAACCCCATCTCTACTAAAAAAAAAAAATTTCAAAATTAGCCGGGCATGGTGGTGTATGCCTATAATCCCAGCTCCTTGGGAGGCTGAGGCAGGAAAATCTCTTGAACCTGGGAGGTGGAGGTTGCAGTGAGCTGAGATTGCACCATTGCACTCCAGCCTGGGCAACAAGAGTGAAACTCCGTCTCAAAAACAATAAATAAATAAAATATAAAATAAAATAAAATAAAATGTATAATTGATAGCTAATGAAAAGTCAGTATGAAATTTAGCTCAAGTAAATTATTTCTTTGCTATTTGAAGTCCAAAACAATTAAACTTGTATACCTTCATTTAAAAAATCCTATTGTAAGAATAGATACTCAAATAGAAAGGAAATAAATTCCTATCATAATACAGATCTCAAATAACTAACCTTTAACACTTTTTCTGGGACTTCAGGTAGGAGTTCCTGAAGTTCACACAGAGTTGCTAATAATATCCAATGCAGTGAAGGTCCTTTATTTAGCATGAGCTGAGCCACCAATGGGTTAACACATGGAAAATCAAGTAAGTACATTTCTTCCTAGAAAAGAGTTTAAGAAATAGTCAGTAGTCTTTCGAAAGTGATCCATTTTATTTTACTCGTTGCAGCAGATTAAAATTTTTGTCATTGTACCTACGACTCAATTTGAGACATTTGGGGGAAAAATGTTACCAGAAAGTAAATTCAAATACAGGTTTTTATATTTGTTTTGCAAATATCTAATTTATACATTTAGAAAATATACCTCAGATGGTGAAACTTCAAGCCAGGATTTATCCAACCATTCATGAGGATCTCTCTTTGAGGTCATTAAATTGTGGTCAGCAATTTGTCGAATTATCAAGGCAGTTGCTTCTACTCCTGGGGCAATTACAAGCTAAAAAATATTTTTTTATGTTAGATTATAGGAAATACTAGGAATCAAAATATAATATCAAAAAAATAGTTTGTAATTAGAAGATAAAATTAAACAACAGCAGATTCTAATCTTTAACACTATTTTAGATAGAAACTGTTGGTTTATCCTACATCCAGGACATTTTATTTATGAGGATAACCAATTTTCCTTCCTTATTTAAATATGATACCTTTGTATTTTTAATTTTTGGAACTAAATCATTTTCATTTCATTTGGCATTTAGTAATAGAGTCATTAAAATACAGTGTTATATTTCAACTATATTAGAAAAATCAGCAATTTGAATATCACTAGTAATATTACTATTTTGTTGTTTCCAAAAGTTAAACCTAATAGTTTTCAATTAAAATAAGAATTTTAAAAATATAGTGCAAGATTTTTCAAAGACAAAGTTCAAAAATAAGGATACTTATAAATGAATTTGATCTTGTATTCAAAAAAGAAAAAATAAGGTTTTGATTTAGAGTAGTCATTCCCAGCATTTTGGGAATTGCTCATCTAATATTGGCTTACTGATTCTAAGATACCCCTGCCAAAAATGTGGTGTTTGTGTATATTACACAATTCTAAAAAACATTTTTCCCATTAGTACAGTAGTAAGAGAAAAAGTAAAGAAAAAATAATTTCATAATATCCTCTGTTTCCTGTCTGACACTGTTTTCCTCTATTCCCTTCTCTCTTCTGAAATGTCAGCCTTCTTCTTCTGCTTTCATTTCTTTCTTTTCTTCTTCATCTTTTAAATTTGATTGAAGGAAAGATAGTTCATGAGTTAGCAGTTTAATGTGAACAGAGAAATACTGCCCCAAATAATCCTATCTTGGAAATATAAATATCCTGTACCATAGTGGAAATTTAGTAAACCGTAGAAATCTCACAAAATAATTATTATTTTTTTCCTTTTATAAGAATAACAAATACAAAACGGTTAGTACACAACTGGGGAGTACATGCATTTTAAAGGATTTTTTTTAAATGACATTATATAGGGAGAGTACACAGAAATACATTGTTCAATTCCAAATGTACTTAATTGCTAGTTTTGGATGTTTTGAGAAGATATGACACTTTCATTTAAATATATAAACTTTATTTTAACCCTTTTCCCATTTAGGAAAAAAAAGTGCAGCACTCATTTAATTTTACATAAACATGCTCTTTGAGGCTGAAGCAAATCTAACTGATTTTCGATGTGAAAATAAAATATAAAAACTGTGCTTGGAGTTATTTCTAAACAGAACTAACATCAGAATCATCTGAATCATGAGAATTTTCTATTTCAGAAAAATCAGATTCATCAATGGACTCTTCAGCCAACAACTGTTTGAGAATGATGTTAACATCACAAGTAGGAATGCTATGTTTTCTAGGATTTGACATTTTCAGGGATTGAGAATTACTATATTTTGTAATGGAAATACCACTACTAAAAATAGAATGCTATAAATAGAAAGATGTCTTTTGTTTCCTAAGTTGATATACTAGAGTATGCAAAAATAATAATAAAAACGAGATATTGCGTGGCAAAGTTACCTCGGGGTAAACACTGCAGCAACAAGCCTGGCTGGCGAGGATTCTCAGGGCAAATGGGAAAAGGGTTAAAAGCCATAATTTTATGATGGTGGTAATGATGATTAATTTATTAGGGCAGGAATTCTGGGGCTCATGGCCAGATGTGGGAATTCAGGAACCTCCTTAATTTGTTTGAAAAATTTTGCACGTGTGTATTTATGCATTTTCCTGCAAAGACAGTTCATAAGAAAATTACAGAACTTTTAAAAAATTGGAATAACACTTAGCATAACACTACTAGCAGTATTTTCTTTTTCTTTTTTTTTTTTTTTTT